TATATTTTTAAATTTATCTTAATATTTATAGTTTATTATACATCTTACCTTTTACTAAAGGTCTTGTGCACTTTTCTTGTGTCTATTCCTAAAGGTGTGATTTATCACTTGTTTACTTAAAACATATAGAGTGTTTACCTGTTCCTAAGTGTGACTCTCACCCTGGACAGTTGCAGCAGGCACTGTGACTTATTAACTTTGTTCTCCAAGTCCACATACTTAATATGTTCACTAAGACTGGGATGAATGATGTCTTAAATGCTCTTTAATGGGGACTGCAACATCTGAAATATTTCACTTGAACTCTGAAAACTACTCTATTGAATGTCTCATAAATACTGCAAGGATGAACAGAGTGACTTTCTGGTCAGCTGTCTGGTGTTAAATGGGAACAAATACTGCTTTAGCAAGACCCACAGAGCCTTGAAAAGCGGAAGATGATTTTAGTCCTGCTGGGTTTCCCCTTGGAACAAATGTCAGAACCATCCCGAGTGCTGGACAAGTGACATTGGACTGAGTGTCAATGAATGACTGCTAGGGCTTGGCCTGACTAAGGAGCATAGCAATAGAGGACATAGGACATTGGCAGAGAGTCACCTGAGCAGCAGAGCTGTCAGCAAAGGCATTCCTTGGAGATAAATTGTGGGTGAGTGGAGGGAAGGACAGGTGGGGTGGAGGCTGGACAGTTGGCAGGCGCCAGATCATCCATCCAGTTGACCCGCCCAACACTGTATAAGCGAAGTGCCTGGCACTGTAAGAGGTGTTGAGTGGACACAGGAAGCAGAGAAAATGCAGACCCATCTCCCAGAGCTCAAGTCTGGACAAAGTGCGTGCTTAAAGGGGTCAGCAACCTAACCACTGTGGTGGGTGTACTGAAACGCCGTTACCAGTGTTCTGCTCCCCACATGTTGAAGTAGAACATTAGAGAGCACGCTGAGGCAGGCATATAGAGCAGGGTTTATTTAAAAAGGGGTCACATAGACTTCTCCCAGGAGGGAGAAGGGGGCCATGGCTGGTGTCCTGGTATCCCCAGAAGTGAGGGTTCTGCCTTTTTATATGTCCTAGGCTTCCCTTGTCCTCCTGCTCTCTCCCCCTTATCTCTCTCCTTCTTAGTTGGTGACTAGGCCCAGGAGATACTGGGTGGGATGGCCAAAAGGTGGGAAAGAGGGGCTGGAGGGGCAGCGGAGGGGGGGGATGATCCAGACAGGTAGGGGCCCAGGGCAGATTAATTTGCTGTTCAGTCTGCTGAGTTGCTTCATTAACAGTTCTTTAGGATGGGCCATATTGGCTGGCTTTGGGACATTAACATTTCAATCTCCAAACTGGTTTGGTCTGTTTTCTTCCTTCTGGCCCCGATTCATCTCTCTATGCTGACTATCTGTTTTTTTGAATTCTGGCTTCTGTACCGTGCCAGTTCAGCCGGCCTGCTGGATGGGAGGAACTGACCTGGAAGTGACAGGTGTGTGGTGGCAGCAGGATTAGTTCATTTACCACATTTTGGAGTTGGGAGCCAGCAGGCCACTTCCTGGTTCATAGATTCCAGAAGGTGCCCAGGTGTTCTGTACAGGTTACCTTTTGACAAAAAGCCATCTCCTCTCCTCTTTTTGAGTTATTGTCCCAAAATATGTAATTTTTTTCAAAATTCACTTTAAAATTTAGCATGTTATTTCAAACATTTTTCAAATATGCTAAGTAATTTTTAACATTTTTCAAATATGCTAAGTAATTTTTTGGGGGAGGTGGTACAGAGATTGAACTCGAAGCTGGACAGTTGACCACTGAGCCACATCCCCATCCTCAGCCTTTTTTTGTATTTTATTTAGAAACAGGGTCTCATTGAGTTGCTTAGTGCCTCACTACTGCTGAGGCTGGTTTTGAACTCGTGATCCTTCTGTCTCAGCCTCCCAAGCCTCTGGGATTATAGGCATGAGCTGCTGCACCCAGCTAACTCTAGATCTTTTTATTGTGATAAAATATACATTGCATAAAACTTACCATTGGAAGCATTTTTACGTGGGTTCAAAGGCACTGAGTGATCTCCAGCGCCTTCATCCCCAGCCTGATGCTGACTCCCTCCTCTCCCGGCCTCTGCTGCTCTTGGTCTCTCTAGCCTCCTGCTCTAGAGAGGAATCCTTTGCCTTTCATGTCAGCCTTCTTCACCTGGCATAATGCCCCCGAGCTTTGTTCACATAGCAGCAGTGTCAAAATACCAAAGTGTGAATTTTATCACCCAAATTTGAAGTGCTGGATCTAGCAGTCTGTGGGGCTCCCCTGGGCTGGAGGGCAGGGAACGCCAGCCCCAGCCGCTGGCAGGATGGAGAGGGGCTGAGGAGCTGAGAGAGAGCATCTCTGGAATCCCAGCCTGTGCCTTGGGGGGAGCCTTGCCCCAGGCTCTGTCTCTCAGGAGGGCTGTAGGGGGGTTGCCTTGAGAGGGGACCAGAGTCAACCTGGGTATGTCAAGGAACTGAGAACTGTGTCCTTAAAAGGGACATGTCTAAGGGTTTCTCAGTGAACTTGAGGAAGCAGGCACCATAGCCTGAAGTTTGTCCCCCATAGTGCTAAACCAAGGGAGATCTTTGCACAGACAGGACTCAGCCCCAGGTGAGTCCACCGAGGTACCCATACAAAGGTGTCCCCAGACTGAGCAGCCAGCCGCCTGCTTCCACTGTGTATGACATGAGGCCAATGCCCTGACCTCCAGGCCCAGAGTGGAGATGCCTCTGCACCCAGGCAGTCAAGAGGCACCAGGTGAGGTGGAAAGACCCCGGGCTGGACTGGGGCTGGCTCCGTGACAGCTGACCTCACAGACTCCAGGAGCAAGGAGTGGGCACACCCCTCTGGTCCTTTGAGATTTTAGAAAATTAGAAGCTGAGTACACCGTTTACTTCCTTGGATGTGGCCCATGGCTTGGGTGACTTAGTGGCATTATGATCACCAGGAGTGATTCCATGCTCCAGATTGTTGGGGTTGAGAGGACAATGGTGGTACTCAACAAGGTGCTGAGGACCCGATGGGTAGCTGTGCCAAGCTCCTCTCAAGCACTGTCACCTTGATGTCCCCCCTCCACCCAAAGAGGCACGTGTGGCTGTTGTTCCCACTTGACAGAGAAGGACAGTGAAGCTCAGAGAGGCTCAGACACATGACCGATGGTGGCTGGACCAGGATGGGACCTTGGCTTGTCTGACTCCAGAACCCAGCTTGTTTGGATGATAGCCGACCCGTGACCTCTCCAGTTCAGCCATGACAGTGGGCATCCCTGCCGCTTCCCCAAGAGGTCATTAAGCCTCGTCGCCTAACCACAAAGCTCTTCCCATATCCTCTGGGACAGGAGGGCTGTCCAGAGAGATCCTGGGTGATCCTTGGGGTCTGAGTGCCTCTCAAGGGAGGTTCAGGGCCTGGGTCCTCCTCTCGCCCAGCAGCCTCCTCTCCAAGCAGAGCAGCGGAGCTGGTGTGCGGCTTCTGGGTTGGAGTTTCCCTTCTGTGGTGGCATCTGATTATATTTAAGCTGCAGCTCTGGCTGGTACCCACAGCCTCAGCCTGGGCTGGGGAAGCCCTTGCCATGGGGAGTGCTGTGCCAGCTTCTGCCCTTCTTCTTCCTTGACCTCTGCTGCCAGCCACCATGCCTTCCCCATGCTCCCCTGTTAAATGGTGAAGGAGGCAGACAAGGTGGTGGCATCCAGGTCAGGAGGTGGAAGGGACCTGAGTGTTACTTATCTAAGACACCTATGTTCTTAGGGCACCCTGAGTGATGGTGGGAGGGTTCCAGAACCAATAACCCCAGAGTCCTGCAAGTATTGACCTTCCTTTATTTAGCTTCATCATCACCCGCAGAAACAGGCACCTAGTAGGTTTTAGTAAATGCTCATTGAATGGGGTCAGAACGCATTCGTTGTGTACCCTTCCCCCTCTGACAAATCCTCGGCACCCCCAGGCCCATCTGCTGAGCTCACTGACATGGAGAGGAGCTGGGAAGTCCCAGGAATTCCCGGATCCCATGAAGGCTAGTGGTTCTGGGCAGGTTGGCAGGCACCCCCAACCAAGGCGAGATGGGCCAAGAGGCATCCATCCGGTCTAGCTGGGACAGGGTGTGATTTGGACTCTCAGTTTATGGAAAAATGATCCAAAAGTGCCCTTGCTGGTTTTGTGCAGGATCTGTCTCAAGGGAATGACTTTGCATTTCCAAAGGGACTTGGAAAAATTATCCCCCATTGTCCCTATTTGTGAAAAATTACCATTTTATGAAGCAAATTATTTCAAAACAGGGGTGGTGGATGTGTCTGTGTGTGCATGACCTCTCAAGGGGAATTTGATCATCTCCAGCCAGCCCTGACCTTCTGCCTGTGTGGAAATTAATTGGCATTTAGCACCAACTGGCTGTTGCAGAACTTTTAGTAAAAAAGTCAGCTGCCGAAACCAGCCATGCTCATGCCCACCCTTCTTTTCTTTGTAATTCTACTGGAAATTTTTTTTTTTTTTTTTTGGTGCTGGGGATTGAACCCAGGGCCTTGTGCATGCGAGGCAACCACTCTACAACTGAGCTACATCCTCAGCCCCCAGAAAACTTTTGAAGGGCCTGATTTGGTCACTTGCTGCAAGGGCACTATCTGTAGGGAGGGGTCAGATGCCCCATCTGTAAAATGGGCTGATGATCGTTGCCCTGTCTGTACCACAGGAAGTGAGACTCGGGGGACAAAAGGTGGATCAAAACCCTCTGTCACCATGTGTTCCCAGCAGTCACTTAACATGTGTTTACAGTATGTGCAGAGCTCTTGGGGAGGAAGCGGGACGTAGCCACTTGTCTAATGACATTCTCTGGGGTTTGAGTCACAAGTGTTCTCTAAGCTGCCTCCTGCTTCCTCGCCTACCCCACCCAGAGACCCAGGTGCCATCTGCCCCTGCTGCTGAAACCACTAGTCTATGGCTGGGCTCTCGGCAGCGCTCTCCCATTACAGAAGGAAGCATCCTGAAGGGCTTCTGTTCTTCTCTGTGCCTCTGCTAAGCTTTCCCAAGAAGTGCTGCTTTCTGGACCGAGACATAGGACAGAGCTGGCTGCCGCTGTTCCTTTGCTTGCGTCTGCACAGCATCACTAGCGGTAAGTGCCACCCCTGTGCCAGGAAAGCAGCTGGGGACCTGCCCCACCCCTCAGCCACTCCTAAGAAGCCCTACCAGATGTTTCCAAAGGAACCAGCTGGAATCTAGCATTGTCACTTCCGAGCTGTGTGACTTTGGGAGCATCAAGTAACCTCTGGTCTCAGTTTCCTTGTCTGTAAAATGGGGATAATCAGAGGTTCTGTGACATGGGGTGACGGACAGAGGTGGTTCTCCATGGTGAAGCAGGGCACAGCTGCCAGGGCCGTTTCCTTGCCATAGGATTGTGGGAAATGCCTCAGCAAGGGATTGACTTCTAGGTCACTTGTTTGGCATTTCCAGAGAAAAATTGGATCAATTGAACAAGTTGTCCAGCAGTTCAAGTCCTCTGGAGAAGGAAGTGTGGGTCTTGGTGTTGTGGATCCCACACTTGTGATCAAGTGCTGGGTCTTTGGAAACTGTTGGTGACCACTGTGCCCCTGTGCTGCTGCCCGCTCTGCACTGCGGAGCTCACCCGGCTCTGCCTTTCACAGGACTCACAGGTTGCCTATGGTCACGGCCGCCTTGGCTTCCAATATCCTGACTAGGCATCGTGATGGCACCTTCCGTTTGCTGTCCCCCCTTGGCATGCATGTCCTCTTGGAACAAACATACAGCAAAGCAGGAGACCATGAAAGGAGCGCTCTAAAATTTGTTGGGTTCATATTTGGCTGAATTTAGGCAGCATTACAGACTGGGACCTAATGCTTTCAATTCCCCTTTACTGCATCTATCAGGGACAAATTTTTATTATATTTTTTTGGTGGTGGTACTGGGGATTGAACTCAGAGACACTCCACCACTGCACTACATCCCAAGCCCTTTAAAAAAAGTTATTATTTTGAGATAGGGTCTCACTCATTTTCCAGGCTGGTCTTGAACTTGCGATTTTCCTGCCTCAGCCTCCCCAGGTGCTGGGATTACAGATGTGATCCACTGCTGCCCTCAGGGATAAAGTCTTAAAGTGAATACCCGGAGGACAAATTGTTCAATTGATCTAAAAACTCTAGGTCTGTGCCCCAAAGCCAGATTATATTCCCTTGACCTCATGCTCTGGGTACAGGGGAGTCAAGTGAGACTTGGAAAGTTGGGGAATATATTCTAGGCAGGACAGGAAGCCACCCAATGAGATCTTTGCCCTCTTAGAGGATATTTGAGAACTTTTCAAAGCCATTTCCTTTTTTAAATTTTTTAAAATATTTAGTTTTTAGTTGTAGGTGGACACAATATCTTTATTTTTATGTGGTGCTGAGGATTGAACCCAGTGCCTCACACATGCTGGGCGAGAGCTCTACCACTGAGCCACCTCCCAGCCCTCAAAGCCATTTTCATCTGTCCACATGTACCAAGTAGCTCTGAAACCCCGGGATGGCTGAGGGAGTCGGGTTGTCTTGTCCAGATTGCTTCTAGATGCTCCAACAACACTGAGAATCTCATTCCAAGCCTCCCTTGCCAGGCAGGATTGCAGCCAGGGCACTGTGAACGCTGGGGTGGGGGTGGGTATTCTGTAACTGAAGCACACCTCATGGATGCCCATGGAGACCTAGGGAAAATATGGGAAGAAAAATAAAAACAGAAGCAAATTTGAATCAGCAGTACTCAGCCTAAAATCTTCTTCACCACTTCTTTTAATATTTTGGTAACATTGTGAGGATAGAAATCTCTTTGCATCATGTGGGTGAAGCTGCACTTTGAGGACCATTGATGGCCTCTCCTTTCACATAGTTCCCCAAGAACCCTCCAGGATCACAGGGCACTGATGTCTTTTTGTAGGATTGTTGGGAATATATTTCTATTAAAAGATCATAAGTTGCTTTTTAAAGCATTAATATGTAGCAATGAGAATTTCCTGCTGAAGTTGAAATTGCTCTCTGATTTGGAGTGAATTCATTCATTCCTTTGAAAGTTCATTGGTATTTTGTTTTTCTTTTTGGTACCAGGATTGAGCCCAGGGGCACTTTAACCACCCAGCCACATCCTAGCCCTTTTTATTTTTTATTTTAGGACAGGATCTCAGTAAGTTGCTTGGGGCCTTTCTAAGTTGCTGAGGCTAGCTTTGAGCTTGTGATCCTCCTGCCTCAGCCTCCTAAGCCTCTGGGATTACAGGTGTGCACCACTATGCCCTGCTTATTGTTATAAATTTTTTAAAAGAAAGTTCATTTGGAATATAAAAGAACCAGACTCTGTACACTACCACAGTGATTCTGAGTTGTCTTCTTCCCATTTTATCAATCCAAATTTGAAGGAGACCTGCCCCTTTCTTCCCTTGGCTCCTGACATCTTCTTTTTTCTTTCTGTGAGATTTTGGAGGTTCTGTTATGAATGAAACCGTAAACATGTTCTCTTTGTGCTTCTCTCAAGGCAGGGATCTGGAGGAGTTAAGGCACATTAACTTCTTTCCCGAGTCCTGGCTGATCCGGGTTACAGCCAACCATTACCACGCAGTGAGTCTGCTCATCAAGGGAAAAAAAATCACCCGAATTGATTGCCTCTTTGACTTTGCCTTTTCTGAAGATGTGTTTCATGTTTGCCACCTCTGGGTCTTTGAGGCCTGGATCCTCCTCCAGGGGAATCAGGGAGAGCTGGACCTGGGAAGGAGAGGAGGGAGGAGGCCCAGCCTGGGAATCCTGGTGTTCAAGGCCTGTGCTCTGATGGTCTGCAGCATGGGGGCTCCAGTCACCCCAGCCTCCAGAGCCCCCACTAGCCATGAACGTGTCATGTGCTTATAAGTAAAATTTTTCAACATGCAGAGAAATAGAAAATAAATACCCTTAGACCCATCACCCAAAGACAACTGCTGTTGACATCTTATGATATTTATTATCTTTAAGCCTTTTTAAAATATATAATGTACTCAAGTATATGTACTTCCTAACACCTTTCTTAATGGCTGCCAACCCTTTCACCCACAGAATGTGCCAGAGCTGCTGTTATTGGACTTTCCCTTATTATAGAAAATGTATAGTGTTTCTAATTGTTTAATGTTATAAATGATCATATGGGGAACATATTTTTACATCACCATTTATTTTTCTGTGCTTTGAATTGTTTCCTCAGAGGAGATTTTCAACAGCAGAAATACTGGCTCTAAAAGGAATGTGCATATTTGTTCTTGATAGATATTAACAAATGTTGGGACAAAAATCACTCTTTCTTCAGAAATAAATGAATATGCCTGGCTTTGTACATCCTCAACAATATAGAGCATTTTAATTTCAAATGACTTTTGTTGACCGTGAAGGGGACAATGGCATCTCAGTTTTGAGTATGCATTTCCTTTATTACTAGTAAATATGAATATTTTTCCAGGCCAGCATGTCCCTCTTTGTGAATCATCTATGCAAACTGCCATATTTCTCATGGGTTTCCAATCAAGCATCTGTAGAGATGAAGCTGGGCATTGTTCAAGGTCTGAAGATGCATGAGTCACTAGTTAAAATGCAACCAGCTCTACAAATGCCTTTTGTGATGGCAAACCAGCCTCCGGGCTCCACCCTCCTTGCACATTAGAAATTACTTCATGGATGGTGCTTCTCTGGGACAACTCAGAAGGAGGCTGTAACAGAGTACCCCAGGGACAGTCTCTGGGGCTGACACCTCAGGAAGTCCCCACAGACTCTCTCTTCTCCCCTCTGACCTGCCACCTCCTTCCCTTTGCTGGTAGCTGCCAGTGTCATCCTGCTGGGGACACCCCACCCCATCCCCGCTGCCCTGTCCATGGAGTTGGTCATGGGGCTCTTACTTGTTCTGGACTTTCTGACCGTGGCCATTCTCAGCCTCATAACCGAGATCTTTTTCTTCTCTCTATATTCTCTGAAAATATTGAGCACAGGGCCCAACACATAGTAGGTTTTCCATAAATTCTTGTGGACCAGATGAATGGCTGGACAGAGGGTCTGGAGATGGAACTCTTCCCAGTACCCTGGTGGTGGTGGTGGGGAGACCCAGGAAGATGGGGGTGGGGCGACAGTCTCCTTTCCACTGCTGGTAAGCCGCGTGCGTTTCCCTTTCAGGTGGAGAGCGGAGGTGACATGGCCCACCTAAAAGATCTGACCACCCAGGCTGTGAGATTTGGGCTGCTTTTTGACCAGGTGCTGAGAACTGGACTCAAGCAAGGGGAAGAACCGTGCCCTGCACTTGATCAAGGACCTCTGTAGGGCGGGCCATGATCTTTTCTCCTCTGATAGGAGAGTCAGGGGCCCCCAGAACAGGAGCCTGTGACAGGACATCCAGGAATCCAACCTGTGTACCCCAGATTTTCCCAGGATAGACTGTCCTGGTTTCCCCAGGATAGAAGAGTCTTCCTGGGATCCAAGTCTTTCCATTCTAAAACCAGGAAAGTCCTGGGAAACGGATGAGGAGTTGATTCTCCCAATTTCTCACAAACATGGACGCCTCCCAACAGGCTGAACAAGCCTCCACTCCAAGTCTGTGTTGAAGCTTGCAAGGGTGTACTTATTCCCAGCAGCTACTTTGACAAACCCCATCGGGAGCCAAGGAGCTGGGGTGAAGGCATCCTGGCGTTCAGGCATGGGGAGCATCTACAGCCAGTGTCTGTTGTCTTGTGCTTCCGGTGATGGGCACAGGCTGCCGCTCTCCTTCCTCCTCCCTAACCTATTAAGCCCAAGTTTTCAGTTCTGCAAAATATTTCAACACAATTGATACAGGAGCATGGAAATGGGTTGGAAACCATAATCTCGAGCTCATATCTAGCATTATATTAATTACTATTATAATTATTATATCATACTATAATTATATTATTTTTATAATTCTATTAGGTAATTATTATACATATTAAATTCTATATTTAAGTTTTTATAGGTGTTCCACATCTGGGATGATGGCACAAAATGGGCTAAAGGCATTCCAGGAGGGATCACCAAAGAATTCAATGTTTCAAGGACTGGGGATCCCAAATCTTTCATCTGAGAGAATCCCCTGGATCAGCCCTCTGATTGCAGAGACCCACCTAAGTGGGTGTAGATTGCAGGAGCAAGTACCTTGAGCAGGGAGTGCCTCTTAGATCCATCAAATTGGAACAAAACACTTTGTCTCAAAGGTCTGCAAAGCACAGGTCACCTAGGAACATACCTAACTCATGCCTTTCCTCATTAAGGAACATGCAGAGTAGACATATTGTCCCTACTCAGTATCAACTACTAACTCCTACTAACTGTACTGTTAGTAGTAATAATAATCAATATTAACCTGCCAAAAAATTGATGACGTCTGTCTAAGTCAGCTTTTTCATTGCTGTGACCAAAGAACCTGATAAAAAATTTTAGAGAACGAAAAGTTTATTTGCGGCTTGGGGTTCAAAGATCTAAGTCCATAGATAGCTGACTCCATTTCTCTGGACCTAAGGTGAGACAGAACATCACGGCGGAAGAGTGTGGAGGAAGAAAGCAGCTGGGGACATGGCACCAGGAAGCAGAGAGAACTCCACTTACCCAGGGCAAAATATGAACCCCAAAGGCACACCCCCAGTGACCCATGTCCTCCAGCCATACCCTACCTACCTACAGCTACCACCCAGTTAATCCATTCAAGTGGATTAATCCACTGATTGGGTTAAGGCGCTCACAAAATAACCAAATCATTTTACCTTTGAACTTACCTGTGTTGTTTCACACGTGAGCATTTGGAGGACGCCTCACCTCTACGTCATAACAAAGTCATCACTTGGCTTCCCCATGCTTCGGGGGCTGAAATTGCTATTGCATTTCCACTTTCAGGTCCCTTGTCAATGAGTTGCTTTTGGTGTCACTCGAGTTTGCCGTCCCCTTGCCTTGGAATACTGAAGATCGCCCTCCTTTACTTGGTTGCTTCTCTCTCCCTCTGTAGGAGAACACCACTCATTCAAAGATGATTTCTATATATGGATTCTTCTTTGAGATAAAGGGAATCAAACATGACACCACCTCTTACAGTTTTTACATGCAGGTAAGGACAGCACCGAACAGTTACGTCTCTGATACAAGAATCTACAGTCTGTCAATTTGTATTGATCAGTAATGGTTGATTGATTAGTGATTCACATGGACTGTATTGTAAGTGCTCATACACCTGATATCATTTGATTTTTACTACCACCTCAGGAGATAGGTATTGTGAGCCGAGGAGGATCTCAAGATTGGGTGACTCCACGTTTGTACGTCCTCTGCAGAAAAGCCAGGGTTGAATTTCGGTCTTCCTCCTTTCCATTTAGGATTTGATTCATCTTTGATTTGTACTCAATGGGTGATGTCCTTCTTCCATGGAGGCAATGCAGAGTGCCTACCAGTGGGAGGGGGCAGCCGTTTAGAGCCACAGCATGGCAGTGGGCGGGATGCTGAGGAGTCGGTGCTCCTGCTGGACCCTGACGAGAGGCAGGGGACAGCCATTAATGAGCAGAGAGGTAGTCAGACTGCCTGGTGCGCTGGATGAGCTGGGAAATTTCCCTGAACCCCTCACCTTTAAGATGGGAAAGGTCACAAGACCCGCCTCACCAGGATGGCTATGGGCATTGATGCACTGATTTGTGCAAAGGGCTTGGAACGGGGTCTGTCGCGGAAGGCGCTCTGTGTTTTTGTTTTGCTTGGCGCTGGGGGCTTCCTGCATGGTAAGCCTGTGCTCTCCCTCTGAGCTAATCCCTGTCCAACACTGTGAGTGTCAGCACTGACGATGGTTATGACTGACCTCTGTGATGAAGGGCTGCTGTGGTCCGCGTAGGATCTACGTAGCAGTCTCTCTTCTGTACCATTTGCAAGCTTCCTGACTTAATCTTCCCATCACCACTGCCAGTCTCTGAACCTGGAAAAGGGGGAGCTTTGAATGACTGGCTGAATGGGTGGATAAACGAACAAATGATGACTCTGAGTTTTATTCCCAGTGCTCTCACCTTCTGGAAGGGCAAGTCTCTTCCTTGGGCCTCCATTCTGGTCCCCAGTCACTCAGGCATCTCCCTACACAAGGGGTTTTATTGGATAGAAAAGATGAGTCATGGAGTACCACCAGTCTAAAGGCCGTAGGAATCCTGGGTCAGGGTTTCTCCTCTCTCAGGAACATGCAGAAGCAACAACAGAGCTCGACTGGGTGTTTTTCTGGGTTGGCCGAATCCCGGTCCATCTGACAGTGGTCTGTGCATGGTGAGGGCTCAGATGCCGGCAGACTCAGTAGTGGCCTTCAGGAGCTGATGCCATTTGGGAAGTGCCCCCTGCTGTCTGCACACGGGAAGGGTCTATGTGCCCAGAACGGGGTTCCACCAACTCTGGTCACCCCAGTCACAGGTCCACCTGGGATGGGTCACTCTCTTTGCAGAGAATAAGGCACACAGACTTGGATTCCCCCTCTACCATCTGCGAGCACAGTGCTGTCAGCCTGAAGTCAGAGCGTCTGGTGAAGTATGAGATCCGAGCCCAGACCCTGGTGGAAGGCAGGTGGCAGGAGTTCAGCACTAACCAGATCACACAGAAGTTCGGCTTCGTCCAGCCTTGCTGCAAAAGCCACGTGAGCGTTCCTTTTAGTCTCATTTCTCTTGGATTTCCTTTTGCTCCTTCTCTCTCCCATCCCATTTTGGGGGCCCCTGGCTTCCAGTCATCCACAGGAGGGCAGCTGGGACTGCCCAGAAGCCAGAGAAGACTTCTCAGTCCCACAGCCCGTCAGAATCACCTGGGCCTAGAAACACTCAAGCCTCCCCAGAGCAGGAGACCACATGCTGCATGAATGAGGCCTGTTTTTTTTTATTTATTAGGGAGTGAATCCAGGGGCGCTTAACCACTGAGCCACATCCCCAGCCCTTTTTTGTATTTTATTTAGAGACAGGGCCTCACTAAGCTGCTGAGGCTGGCTTTGAACTCTCGATCCTCCTGCCTCAGCCTCCCAAGCCACTGGGTTTACAGGTGTGCACCACCACGGCTGGCTGAGGCCTGGGGTTTTTTATAAATGCTTCCCAGATTACTTCCTGTGCTGTTAGAAATCAGGATAGCAACTTTCTTTGTGGACTAAGTTGGGCAGTGGGATATTAATGGGTGAGAACATGAAGGAGACGTCTGAGGGCTGCAGGTGTGTGTGTGTGTGTACACTAGGGATGGAACCCAGGGCCTTGCATCTGCCAGGCAAGGGCACTACCTGTGAGCCAGGTCTCCAGCCCCTGCAGACATCCCCTACCTTGGGGACGCGGGAGCTGCACAGACATTCTGGCTTTGCGAAAACTCCCAAGTGCACTCAAGACTTGTTGACTTTGCTGTATTTAAAGTATGCCTAGAATTTTAAGAGTCTTTAACCGCCCCCCCCCCCAAGGTGATCACGAGGTGCAGCAGGGCTGGGAACTGCCCACTGTTACAGTGGAGGGACCTCCCTGTCCCCATCCTGGAGGATATGAGTTGTGTTCTTATCCTAAAATTCCCATTTGCTTTGTTCTGTTTCATATTTTAGGCCCTGAAAATCCAAACTGTGGGCATCCCGATCTATGCAAGTTTTGCATTCATCTTCCCACTATCTTGACAGTTTCCAGAAGATTCTATGGGATTCCCCCCCCATGTGGGTCTGCATAAAAGGAAATAAAATGACATTAAAGGGGACTCCAGTGTGCAGCTGACTGTCCTAGTTAGCAGTGTTTCCTTAGAACTTTTGTCCTCACTTGAGGATAGAAAGTGCCACAAGGCCACTTGCCATCCTTGGCCCCAGAGCACCCCAAATTCCACTTCCCGGGGGTGTGGTGGGAGCACCTGCATCCACAGGCCTCAGAATCTCCCTTCTGCTGGCTGTAGCTCCACCTGTACCCGGAAGGACACACCTGACCCTTGTCCCTGACGCCGTGGCTCAGCCAGAGACAGAAATAAGGAGGGAAGGAGCCGACTGACTGTCATCCACCTTTTCAGATGGGACTGCATGGTTTGGGGCAGTGGGGTAAGAGCCTTTCTCCCCCTTGTGGGTGAGTTTTCTATGGTAGTGTAACCAAGCACCCCAAGTGTCCCCACCTAAACCACACGTCTTCCATGGTTTTCACGGCTGAGGAATCCAGATGAGCTTCCTGGGTCCTGTGCTCAGGGCCTCTACAAGACTATGGTTTAGTGGCAGTCGGGCAGTGTTCTCATCCAAAAACGTGCCCAGCAAGGACACAACCTGTGCCAAGCTCATTCAGGTTGTCAGCAGATGCATCTTCTTGCAGGTGTGGGATCACGGCCCCAGTAGTTACTGGCTGTTGGGAGAGGTCGCCCAGGTCCTGGAGGGAATTTACAGAAATTTCAAGGCACCCTGTTGGCTTCTTGAAGGCCAGCAGGAGAACCCCTCACTCTGGCCCTCTAGAACAGTCTTACACGATGTACCCTAATTGTGGGTGTAACACCCACCCCTGCCTTTGTCCTGGTCTCTGGGCTAGAATGAAGCTGCATGTTCCACCACATCCAAGGAGAGAGGATTCTACAAAGGTCACCTTAAGGGGTGTCCACACCAGTGTGTCACCTATTGTCTCTGGACAGTGATGGCGAGTTAAGAATGCACTGTAGAGAGTGAGGTGGCTGAAATCAACCTAAAGATCACTTAGAGTCAGGCCCAAGTGAAGGAGGCTTCTTCCCAGCAGGAACCCAAGCAGGGTGGCGTGGGAAGGAGATGAGCTGGTGGGGAGCTGGCCTGGTGGGAGAATGGGAGCTGAGGAACTGGGTGCTGGGAACGGCTGGCAGGTCCCCTCCCTCATGCAAACCTGCTTCTCAGCCTCCCTCACCTGTGGGAAGTGGTGGTGGGAGCTGGGGAGAGGAGAGGCCAGGGGAGAGGAGAGGCCAGGAGGCCAGGGCAGCTGTCACCCTGTGTGGAGGCCATTCCTGGAGTGGCTGTGTCCTCTGCGGCTCCAGCTGGCTCTGACGCCTCCAGTGCCACCCCAGCTCTTCCCAAGCAGCCTCCTGCCACAGTTCCAGGGCCCAGCAAAGGGTCTGCTCCTGTCCTGATACCAGCCCTTGTCCCGCGTCCCTCCAGCCCTCAGGGCTGTGTAGGTGTCCATCACTGCCAGGCACCAGGCTTCTCATTCTCGAGCTTGGCATCATTTCTTGACATCATTCTGCCTCCTCATCGTACAGAGGGGAAACTGAAGACAGCCAGCTGGGGTGGCCATTCTGGCCAGGCACATAACCCTGCACATCTCCCTGAGTTCCCTCCCCTGGAGGCAGGTGCGGTTTTCAGGGCTGCTAAAGAAGGAAGCTGAGCCCAGGGCGGGGTGGGCATTCACTGTCCAAGGCACCTGGAGTAGCCTGGCCACAGGCCCATCTGTTCCCATTCCCTGCGTGGTCCACTGAGAAGAAGTAAAGCAGTTCTGGGAGTGTACTGCAAGTGCTTAGTGAACACCTGCTGTCTGCTCTGAGCACCTGCCCAGGCCAGGACCAGATGCTGTGTGTGGGGATCTCGTCAGATCTGGATGGACCACGGGTGTGGTCTCACCATGGAAGTGGCACATAAATGGGCCTGGAATGGTGGGCTGGGTCCTTCCAGACAGGGATGGGGGAGGGACACACAGGTGGTATTCACACAGTCAAGAGCTGCTGTCACCAGCCCCAGGGCTCTTGGACTGAACCTGTCAGAGCCACCTGAGAGCCCAGGCAAGTGTGGAGCCCGACCAGGCCTCAGGAGACTGATCCTGCCCTCTGAGACGCCCAGGAACCTGCACCTTCACAGACGCTCTGGGGGATCCTAATGCAGGAGGTCTGGGGATCACAGGAAGGACTCCAATCTGAAGGCATCAACTCCAAGGTGGGGTTTTGTACCCGGCCGTCTTCCTACCCAGTGCCAAAAAGTCCAAACCGCAACACAGACCTGTGGATCCACTTCATCACACTGGATGGTTGAAAAAGAAGGAAAGAAGCCAACAACCACATCTCCTAGAATTCGGAATAGGCAGAACCTCAACCACCCGGCCCCTCCTGTTACAACCTTGGGATGGGGTGTAATTCTGAGAGTCCACCCCTTTCCACTAGAGGGCGTGGTTCATCCCCAAAGTGGGAATCACAGTGACTGAAATTTGCAGCCTGAAAACTGACAACTCTGCGTTGCAGAGTAGGGTCCCCCTAGCTCAAGGTTCAAAGTGAGATTGGTACACCTGGGCAAGGGAGCATATCTAGCATGCACGGCTCAAAAATCTCTGAACTTAGGGAGTGCGTCCTGGGACAAAAATTTCCTAAGAAAATCTTACAAGCTCTTCTTACAAGTGAGAGCTTCTTAGACTCGAATTTTAAAGCCACAGTCACAATGCCCAAGCAATCCACAAGAGCACTGGACAATATAACATTGTGTGCCACATCCAGAACCTCTCTCTGCTCACTTCTCCCCCACATGCCACCTGGCCCACCTCCCATGCCCTCCCCTCCAGCTGAGTTGGCCCAGGATTCACTCTCCATGCAGCAATACTTGGCTTTTAGATTCAGGCTGACCTGAGTTTGAGTCCTAGCTCTTACCAGCTGTGTGGCCTTCAGCAAGTGAGCTAACCTCTCTGAGCCTGAGAGACCAATATGAAACTGGCAACAAAACCAGTGATATCATATAGGTTGAGGTCATTTATAAAGCACCTAGTAAGTGCTCCACACAGTTTATTCCTGTTCCTTGCTCATTGTTTGGAGTAATTTGGTATTCGATGGAGGTTGCACTGGGCAGTCCTCCTCCTTGGGCCTGCTTCCCCTTATGCAATTGAGAAGGTTGGATCAGGTGTTCTCTGCAGGCCTCCAGCTGCAACCTGGATCCTGATCTGTAGGTGAAAGAGTGGATGGTGAGAGGCTGAGCCAGTGAACCAGGAGGTGCCTGAGAAAGGGAAAGAGAGGCCCTCCTCTTTTCTCCCCCTCTTTGAGGCTTGCATCTGGAGAACACTCCAGATGCAAGGGAGGGTACTCTTACCCCTGAGAGCCCAGGAAGGGAAGGGAAGTGCAAGGACTTGGGAGCTTTGGGGAGCAGGATGGTCTCCCAGAGGCTGTGGGGAGTCCCAGGCTGGCCCCATTTGCACAGGGGGTGGGGCGCAGGGTGTGGTGGAGGTTGGTGCCTGGTCCTGCAGCCTTGGGAGTTGGGGGTGGGTCAACAGAACTTTGTACGACCTGTATCTGCCGTGCTCCTATGGTAGCCACTAGCCGTGTGTGGCCACCCAGGGCTTGAGATGGTGGCTAGTGCAACTGAGGAACAGGGTTTTAAGTTGTGGTTCATTTTCCCATACCCACATAGATAGTGCAAGCTGAGGGTCAGGTCACTACAGTGGCCACCTTGGAAAGAGAGCTTCCTGATTCTGCAGACTCTCCATGGTCAGAGCCTCTTGGTCTCCCCCAGGTCTGGACAAGAAGAGCATCTGTGGCCAGCCATGCCTGAGACTCAGCCAGTCGTCACCCCAAACTGGGTGGACTGCAGGGTGAAGGTCACCTCCCAGGGTTAGGGAGGAACTCTGCTGGGTAAAGAAGATTCCAAGGCCCCGGAAGCGGAACTCAGACCTGTGCTGGGGACACCGTTGCTACCCTGCTCCTACCTGCACTACTTAAATTTAAACATGCTGAAATGAAATACAATTTAAAGTTTTATTTCAGTCACACTAGCACATTTCAAGTGCTTGGTGGTGGCCATACGTGGCCGCAGGGGCAGGGCAGATATGGGACAAGAGGCGCTCCTCCCCGTGACTTTGCATGAGTCATGCAATCTTTGCGCTGCCCTTCTGGGCCTCCATTCCACAGATCTGTGGGAGCTGCTGATGCAGGCCAGGCTTTGAGTCAGGTTGCAAAGGTGAGCCAAAGAGTGAGGAAAAGACAGTCGTGGTACAGTAATTGTGCTGAGGGATGTCGAGTGCCCTGCTAGGGTGGCTCTGAGAGCATAAAGCAAAGAAGGTGGACCTAGACCCCCGTAGGGGGTTTAAGGCACAAGAAGGACCCTCTGGGGGAGGGGGGAGATGCTTAAGCTGAGATCTGAAGTAGGAAAGTAGGAGCGGGTCTTGGAACAGGCTGAGGTGAGGACATGGAGAAATCAGAATCCGTCCGCATAGCTAGTAGGAATGGGAAATGGTGCAGAGCTTTGGAAATTTAATGGTTCCTCAATTAAACATAGAGGTACCTTGTGACCTAGCAATTCCCACCTAGATATGTATCTAAGACAAATAAAAATACGTCCACACAGAGACTGGTACACAAAATGTTGACAGCAGCATTATTTATAAGAGCCAAAAGGTGGAAGCAACCCAAGTGTTCCTCAGTGGATGAATGGATAAACAGAATGTGGTCGGTCCACACGATGGAATACGACTCAGCCTTAAAAAGGAAGAGAACGGGACGGGAATGTAGCTCATGCAAAGCCCTGGGTTTGATCCCTGCACCAAAAGGAAAAAAAAAAAAAAGAAGGATTGTCCCATGCTACATAGATGGACCCTGAAAATATGCTCCGTGAAAGAAGCCAGTCCCCCAAACCACATATTATGTGGTTCCATTCCTGGGAAATGCCCAGAGGAGAAAATCTACAGACAGAAAGCAGATTTGGGCTGGGGAAGGGAGGAGAGGGAGCGGAGGCCAGAGCTAAAGGGCCCAGGGTTTCTGTTTGAGGAGATGAAAGCATTCTAAACCTGACCCAGGTGACGGTG